TGCATTTCCCTGATGGCTCATGGTGTTAAGCATTTTTTCATATATTCATTACCATTTGTATTTCTTTTAAGAATTGACTATTCAGGTCCTTTGCCCATTTCTTAGCTGGATTAGTTGATTTTTTTGTTGTTGAGTTTTCTGAGTTGCTGATATAGGCTGGGTATTAATCTGTTGTTGAATAAGTAGCAAGTCATCACCTACCCAAAAGTCTTAAAGTCTTCCCTACAGTTTCTTCTTTCCCTGGCTCTTAAATTTAGGTCTTTGATCCATTTTGAGTTAATTTTTTTATATGGTGAGCGGCAGGAAGCTAATTTCATTCTTCTCTCACTGTCCACTCTGCCTGTCAAAAAAAAAAAAAAGTAGGTGCCTTGAAGAAGAGCTTACTATTTCTCTTTTTAGTATTTTCTTCTACATGTGTACATCCGGTTTTGCCATCAGCATCTATTGAAGAAATTATCATTTCTCCAATGTACCATCAAAAATCTGTTGGTTATATATATATATATATATATGGATTAATTTCTGGGTTCTCTATTCTATAGCATTGATCTGTGTTTTGGTTTTTATTACAATACCACGCTGCTTTAATTACTACAGGTTTGGAGCATTAAACCTTTGACTATAATGTAAATTTAAAATATCTCAAAAGCAAACACTAATTTTTTAAAGCCTCTAAAATACTTATTATCTGTTCCTTCACAAAAGAAAAAGATGATTCCTGACCTAACCTACCTGATAAAGAACAATTTAATTTTCTGTGAATGAGGCCTGCACTGTGGCACAACAGGTTAAACCCATGGCCTGCAGCACCAGCATCCCATAGAGGCCTGGTTCAGCTCCCAGCTGCTCCACTTCCAATCGAACTCCCTGCTAATGTGCTTGGGAAAGTGACAGATTATGCCTCAACTGCTTGGACCCCTCCACCCACAAAGGAGACCCAGAAGAAGTTCTTGGCTGCTGACTTCAGCCTGGCCCCGCCCTGGTTGTTGTAGCCATTTTGGGAGTAAACCAGCATATGGAAGATCTCTCTGTCTCTGTCTCTCTCTGTAACTATGCCTTTAAATAAATAAATAAATATTTAAAACAAAGTGAAATTTTCTGTGAATCAACCTTTGATTTACTATTGATGGTTCATCTGAGGATGGTCACTAGAGGTTAAGGCTAACTAGTTTTTTTTTTTTTTTTTTTATTAATAGAGGTGTACATGTTTTAAGTATAGAAGATAACTCCACAGTTTATGGTTTTATTGTCCTATGGGATATTAACTAACTTGTTTTCAAACCACACAAATTTATTTTATTTTATCATTCTTTTTTCAACTGTGTGTGAACATTTCCTCAAACTGTATTTTAAAGGGCTTCATATAGTATAAGTTTGCTCTTTAATCAGTTAAATAAAACTTTGACTAATGTCCATTTAAAAAAAAA